TTATTAAAAAAATGCAGATGCTAAGCAGCAGAGAAACACTTCCTTGGCACGGTGGTACTCCTCAGAAAGTGAGGTTTGTTGGCAGTTTTTAAACAAGTGGTTTTGGGAATTGTTAGCAACAGAGGTCAAGTCCCAGAGGTCAAGTCAAGTCCTTATGGGGACACAAGCTACTTTTTCATTCCTCCTAACTCACTCGGGTACATTCGAAAAGCTTATTGTAAGCCTTTCCCCGCGCAATCAGCAGCTGCTTCCCACCACAGCCAGTGATCAAAAGGATTATGCGGCATGTGGTGAGACTTTAGGGTGTACATTCTAGGTTTGCCTGCTTAGAAATGTCTTATTCATCAAGCCAAACCTTTAAATCACAAGTACGATCAGAGTTGGAATCCTACCATCTTCCCTTTCACTGACACTCTTCTTTTTGGCTCTTTGGAAGGCACCTGTTCCCAGCCATCACCGCGCATCAAATGCATGACACGGAGTACGGAAATTAATGACTGTCTTTTATTGAACTGCCTAGAGCACATTTCTTTTAAAACCAAAAATGCAGTACCAAGATGTTGCTATTCAACAGAGACTGCTTTCTGACATCCTGATCCATCCCCTAGGCAAACCAAGCCTTCCCCGTGCTTGGTGTCAACCCAGCAAACAGAGTTGCATGGACAGTGACCCCACAAAGCGATGTCAGCGTACACATACAGGCAGACAGAAATGGAGTCTTGCTCTGAATTGTTGCTTACCATTCCCCACCTTGAATGAGCAGTATGTCACACAGTGCTCACCTATCTACTGACTTAAACAAGTCTCCTCCTACAAGCAGTGTGGTGTGTACAGTGCACAGTATTTTGCACAATCACAGCTGTAACAACATTTCCCAAAAGTGCTGTAGCTGTCATATGGTTCCAACCCATATTGGCTTCCATGTACACATTCCAAAGGGATTCAGACCATTTGGAGGGAAAAATTAAAACAAAACAAAAAACAAACAAAAACTTGTTATGCTTATTGCAGCTCTAGAAAAAACTGTTATCTTCATTTATCATATTCCTCACGACACATGCAACTTGTCCTAAACAATGCACCTCCGATTTTACATCCATTTCACATCTACGTAGAGTTAAAAAGAAAGACAGGAAGAAAGGAAGAAAGAATGGAAGAAAGAAAAGAAGAACGGAAGAAAGAAAGGAAGGAAGGAAGGAAGGAACAAAGGAAGGAAGGAAGAAAGAAGACAAATGAATCAGTTGCAGTACTGGGCAAAGTCCTAAGTCCGACACAGCATTCTGAAACCAAACAGCACAGCTTGCCTTGGTATGGACAAAAGTGTTCAGAGAGATGCTCAGTGCCATTGGGACTGCCACAGCCAGTTAACCTCCCTCGCCACATGGACAACTTCCCTGGCAAATAATCACAGTTCAACAATTTAAAGCAAACAATTTCCAACACGCATACAAAAAAGAGCTTGTATGAAGGAGGCTGTTCAGCCTTTGACTGGCCTACCATTTTCGCCGAATTACTTCAAATTTCTGTTCAATTACCAAATTTCACCAAGAAAATTCCTTAGGTGTGAGAAGCTTCATTTGGAACAAAAAGCGCGCCTTTCACCCCCCTTTTACAAAGCCCAAACAAAGGCTGCTGCGCTGCATCAAACAGTGGCTCCCACCTGGCATGGATTGAATGCTGCTGTCACATGGCTGGGGCAGCTCCTTTGCCGTGTGAGCATCACGTGAAGAAGGGAGAAGCAAGAAAATATGAAACAGTACAACAGTTACATCCAGCTTCATCTCAAGACATCCCTTATGCTAGGCTTTTTATGCTCAGTAGTCTGACAAAGCGCAAGCTCAACCCTGTAGGGCCCTCAGTGGCTTCCTCAATGCCACATCTCCGCCGACAGCAATACGACACACCTTGTGAGACATGGTTCTAGAGCAAAAAGCCAACAGTTTTTTTTTGCCAACAGGTGAGTGCTCTGAGCAGCAGAGAGAAGGCCTCAGTGAGCCATGACGACACGCAGGGGCCTGCATCACACTATCCCCAGGCATCTCAACAGGCTGAAAGGAAAATCCAGTCCCGAAGGCCTTATGCTGCGTGGCATTCCCAGCGGACACAAGCAAAGCAGTTAAGGTGTGATCAGGTTGGGTGTTGTTTCTGCTGAAACCAGTTGCTGTGACCCTAACCTAGTTGAAGGATCTCAAGCTGCCTTTGGATGTGGCTCGGTGAGGCGCCTCTGGTTTGGAGTCTATATTTTGTGTTGGTATACAGAAGCTGGCATTCCCAGTTGGTATCTGGAAGTCAATACTGCAGGTTGATATGCAAACTTTAATAGTGCGTGCTGCTAATTGGTGAGGCTGCTACAAGTAAAGCAAGCGGCACCACCTGTTTGACAGAAGCTATCTCGCATCAGGGTTGAATAGTGCACGCCAGCTGCAAGCCAGCCCTCCATCCCCTTCTGCTATCGCTAACCGACTGGGCAGCCAGGTCAGGAGGGCTTACTTCCAAGAGGGGAGATGTACAGCCCTAGCTGGCTCCCTACTTCCCTAACCCGCAGCAGGAGCGAGACACATCTGCCCATCCGAGGCAAACAAATAGTCTCAGTGGGTGAATAAAGATTATGCCTCTTTAAACCAACTGTAAATCTGCATGAAGACAGAACGTACATACACAAGTAGGCAGTGTGCAATGTGACGTCAATCTGAGTTTTACAGATTTATTATTACTGTACATAAAATCTCCTAGTAATAATAACATTCTATGTAAAATACTAGAGCGTTGGGACACTTTGCGGGTGAAAACCATACAAGAAAAATAGGAAAAAGTAGGTCAAGTGTTTAAAAAAAATGCTGGGAGGGAAACACGCCATTAAAAATGTAAGGGTTGGGGGCTGGAACGCATTAGTGTGAATCTCTTCCATTCGGTGTACTAACCTTGAGAGTTGCATTGCACAGAAGAACGAATTTAAAGGAAAAACGAGAGAAATGCTTGCATTGGGATCAATCAGTTCGCTGTTTATTGTTATTATTTTGTTATTATTCTCGCTTTCTGTTTATTTTGTTTTTAAGCACAGTCCCACCCCTGCCTTGAGCCATCTCCACAACTCGCAACCATGCTGAGTACAACTCTCACACCTTAGGGATGCACCAGGACACCCACCCGCCCACCCTGGCCATGCCGCCACGCTCCATTACGTGGTAAAGGAGAAGAAAAAAACGAAAGGGAAATGAGAAACAACCTCAAGAGAAGGCTGCTCCTCTTGGGACCTTCCTCGCCTACTGATCCTACTCCTGTTTCTGCAAGGAAAGGAGCCACGCTCTGTGACATACTTGTGGCACGAGGCAATGCTCGGCTGACACCTCTACAGATGGGACCAGAGATCTGCGTTTGTGTGGCTGACAGAACACCAACAGGGAGAGGGAGTGAAGTGAAGGCAGTTGGTTACAAGAGCACATGAGTGGCTAGTAAATCCATGGTGTTTCAGTCACACTGGTTAAGCAATTCTGACAGGTGGCACCCCTTAGCAGCTTTTAAGGCTGCCAAACCCCTCCATCAGGAGTGAGGAAATTCTGGAGATGCAACCAAGGAAGCACGTGAGCCCACTGGAAGATCTGAAAGCGTGCAAGCACATTTCCCAAGATATCTCACTTTCCAGACAGGTCGATGAGCCCTCAGAAGCTGTAATTTATCATGTTCAGCCCAACAGCACCCAGGCTGGCGAGCCCAACCAGAGAGCCCAGTGTCTTCCTAGCAAACTTTGTACGAAATCAGCCAAGGTGCTACCGAGAAAGCCATGAGCTGCTAAGCCTATTTGGTTTCTCATGTGTGGAGTCTGTGCCAGGCATGGGGTTAGCAATGCTGGGCCACTACACATGCGCAATGACAGCCAAGAGCATGCAGAGCTACAGAGCAAACTCCAGTAAGAGTAGGTCCCTCTCACCAGTGATTCCCTCTCACCAGTGACAGTGGCGAGGCTGGCTACAGAAGAGTTAATGCCATCAACCACATGTCACTTCAGACCCAAGTATCCCATAGCAGTACCAACGCCAATGGCATTATCCACATTGATGTAACGCAGGACAGACCAGCGGGCTCTTGCTGCTTTCCCCGTGGCCTTCTGGCTGGCTCACTCCTGCCTGCACCGAGCCGGGGCACCAAAAAAAGGTCTCAGTTGCTAATTTCTGTGACTACGGATCCCGATGTCACCCCACATGCACTGTTCCTCTGCACTGAATCCATCATCCTCGACACCTTCATGCACATCCAATGTACGCGCCTCGCCAGCAACGCTATAATTTTAATAATGACAAGGGATTACGTGTGATTACTGGGCTTCCCTCTCCTCATTCCCCTGCCTACCGACGAGCCCCAGCCGCGCTCTGTGCAGCGGGTGTTCTGCTTTCCATTGTCTGTTGGGCTTGGCACGTTCATGAAAACCTCTGCCACCGGGGGACCCTGTCTGCACAGCCAGGAGTGCTGGGCATATCCATCAGGTCCAGAGGCACAGTGTAAAGACAAGCGTGGATACAGATCAGATGGCAAGCAGCCCAGCGTACCCCTGCTATTTCCCCACCGTGTTCCCTAGGCCACGAGCGGGGGCTACTCTGCAAAACGTACTACATGGGCACGTGTCACAGCACCGGCTTTGCCACCGGCCAGCCCCAGATGGGTGAGCCAACGCTTCCCCAGACTTCTGCTGGGGCACTGCTCAGCTCCCTCTCCCCACCGTCCCGGCCCTAAAACTGCCCCGAAACCACCACGATCTCCAGGAAAATAAAAAGGGAAAAAGAATAAAGAAAAAAAACAAAAACAGAAAACAACAACAAAAAACAGCAAAACCAGCCGGCCACCAGTCTGCAGGGTCGCGCAGCCGGCGCACCGGGCGAGCAGCACCTCGGCTCGGCTCCGCACGGCACAGGGCGGCGGGTAGGGCGCAGCCTCCGACCCCGCAACCCGCAGGGGAGCGGCCGCAGGGCGGCGGGGCCGGGGCCGGGCGCGGCGGGGCGGGGGCGGCGGGCGCGGGGCCGCGCCGGCGGCGGGAGCACCCTCAGAGCCTGAAGGAGGCCTCGGAGAACGGGTGCTGCATCTTGAAGCTAGACAAGAAGCACTGCAGGGGCGGGGGCAGGGGGTTGAGGAGGGACGGCGGGAGGCTGGGGAAAAAGAAATCATCTCCTCTGACCTCTAGCGAAGTGCCAGGTTTTTTCTTAAGCTCTTCACATTTCCTAAATTTGCAGATCTGGTGTCCCGTTTTGCGGTTCCTGCAACTGCTGCAGACTCCACAGTTGATGAGCCGCTTGCAGGGCACGCACACCCCGCAGCGTTTCCGCTTCTTCTTGGCGGGGTTGCCCGCCCCGGCCCCGGCCCCGCCGCCTCCTCCTCCGCCGCCACCTCCGCCACCGCCGCCGGCCCCCCCGCCGCCGCCGCCGCCGCCTCCTCCTCCGCCGCCCCCCGCGCCGGCGGCGGCGCCCAGGGCGGAGGCGGGGGCGGCCGAGGCGTGGCTCTGCGGGCAGTCCGCCAGGTTGGCGATCTGGAAGGCGCTGTCTGTGACGGCGGCCGAGGCCGCGGCGGGGGAGTGCAGGGCCGTCATGACGATGACCCCGGGCGGCAGCGAGAGGCCGCCCAGCGCCGGGATGGCCGAGAAGGTGCCGACGCGCTCGGGGAGGTTCATGATGTCGGCTTCGGCGGCGCCGCACTTGAGCTTGTTCATGCACTCGCCCGCCAGCGGCCGGCAGTGCTCGGGGGCCAGGCCGGAGAGGAAGTTGCCGTTGGCCATGGGCAGCGCGGGCTGCTCGGCCGGCGCGCAGCCGGGCTTGCCCAGGCGCTGCGAGTCGCTCCGGTGGTGCATGCCGCCCCTGCCGGCGTGCAGCGAGGAGGCGGCGGCGGCCGCGGAGGCGGCGGCGACGGCGGCGGAGGAGGAGGAGGAGGAGGAGGGCTTCCTCGCGCCGCCCGCCGCGCCGCCGCCGCCGCCGCCGCTGCCCCAGAGCATGGCGGTGGCGGCGGCGGCGGTGGCGGTGTCGCAGTTCCAGGGGGACATGCCGATGCGGGCGGCGGCGGCGGCGGCGGCGCTGGGGAAGATGGGGGTGGTGATGCGCGCGATCTTGGCCGCCTGCGGGAAGGCGCCGCCGTTGGTCTTGTAGAAGGTGGCGAAGGAGCGGTACCTCTCCATCTCCGAGTTGTAATCCACAAGGCTGTTGAGGGCCCCCTCGGGCAGGTGGCTGTCCTTGGGCAGCCCCGGCGCCTCGGGGTTGGGGCCGCTCTCCACGCACACGTTGGTGTTCATGGTGGCGGCGAGCGGGCGGGGGTCGGGGGGAGCTCAGTCCCACGCGGGGCGCGTCCCCGGCGACGCCGAGCGGCCGGCCGGCCTGGCCTGCCGCATCCTCACGGGAGCTGAAAGACAGAAAGTGGATTCCCAGGGGGGGGGCGGGAGCGAGGGGAGGGCGCGGGGAAGTCCCGGAGAAGTCTGCGGGCGGGCGCGGGGCCGGGGCTGCCCACCGGCGGAGAAAGCGTAAGGGGAAAAAAAAAAAATAGGAAAAAAGAAAAAAAAAAAGGAGGGGGGGCGGGAAGGGGATGAAAAAAAGCCCCGAAGAGGAGGAGGCGGGGAGCCGCCAGCTGCCGCCGTGTCCTTCTGCGCCCGGCGGTCATTAGCGCCGCGGCACAGCTGGCAGCAGGGCGACAGCCGACAGCAGCGCCGGGGCAGGCGAGCCGTAACCGCGCCGAGGCTCCGGGCGCTGCGGGAGCCGGGGCTCACCCCGCGGGGAGGGAGGGATCCCCGAGACCGTCTGCGGGGAGCCGCGGGGTCAGGGCTGCCGCCCGCAGGCCGCTGCCGGGGGGCTCGGTTTAGAGGCGGGAGAAAGGCACGTTACGGCAGCCTTCGCCAACTGAGGCGAAACAGCAGCAGAACTTCAAAAGCCCTCAGTTTCCGAACAGTGGCTCTTTGTTTTCCAGCTGCCGTACCTGAGCGGCTCAGATACTTCCAGCACCTTTTCCGACGGGCGGCCATCGGGCAGAGCCTCGCTCCGGGCACGCCGCGGGGCCGCGTCTAGCTGCCAGACGCCGCCGCGTTCAGTTCCAAATGGTTATCAATTACGGTAATTACGATCGTAATTAGATTAATGAACCGTTCGGAGCCCAACCTACCGAGCGCACCAACTTCATCTTCTCCCGAGGCACCGAAAAGCGGGCTTTATGTCAACAGATACGAGCGCAGGGAGCGCGAACCTGAGCGAGAAGCCTCGCCCCGGGCTGGAACACGGCGGGAGGAGACCGGGAGCCGCTCTGCGTCCTCCCCTCGGCGGGGAAGGGACGAGCCCGGCGTGTAGCCGGCAATACAAAGGCTGCCCGGAGAGGAAGGCGAGCGGAGCCGCACAGCCTCGGGGCCCCCGGCGGCGGCGGGCACACATCGATCACGCACCGAGAGGCCGCGTGCCCGGGGCTGAGTCCGCAGCCCGCACCGGGGACCGCCGGCGGGAGGCGGCCGTGGCCGTGCATGTTCGCTCCCGCACGTCTAGCGTGCAGGAGCTGGGGTGCAGAGGTCATATTTGACATTCGGGAGGAGGGGCGGGGGCAGATTAATTAATAAATTAATGCCGCGGCGCCTTTTCTCGCCCGGCTCTGGCGTTCGGGTACTTTGGCGAGCCCTGAGGACAACAACGACGGCAAAAAATAAAAAATAAAAGATACAAAAAGCCGCCGACAAAGCACAAAATGAGAAAGATAAAAAAAGAAAACCCACCCCCCTTAAAGAAAGAAAAAAAAAAAAAAAAAAAAAACAAACACGGAGAAGGAGGGAGGAGAGGGAAAAAAGCAAAGCAGTCACTTACCGGGCTCTTTATTGAGGGGGCTCGGATGCGCAGCCTGCGCGCCGCTAATTAGTTGCACATCAGTCCCTAACACAAAGAAGGAGACGGAGCAGCGGCGGCAGCGAGCATCCAGCTGTGTCCTGGCGGCTCCTCAATTACAACTTTGCGACTTGTAAACAAACTGCGAGGGGCGGCGGGAAGGGGCGCGGGGGGCGGGGGTGCCCATCCGGCAGCGCCGAGCCGCTAAACAAATACCTGCGAGCGCCGTTCCCCTCGCTCCCTCTCTCCGTCTCGTTGCAGAGAAAGGAGGAGGAGGAGGCGGGGGAGGCGGCGGGGGGCGAGGAAGGAGCAGGCACCGAGGGAGCGCGCGTGTGAGTGTGAGTGTGCGTGTGTGTGTGTGTGTGTGTGCGTGCGAGGGCGGGCGGGAGCCCGGGGCCGCGTCCCCGCGCCGCGGCCGTGCGCGCCGGGCGGGCGGGGCGGGAGGGAGGGAGGGTGGGAAGGAAGGAAAGAGGGAGGGAGGCGGCGGGGCCGGGGGGGAGCGGGCGGGGATGCGGGAGGCGGGCGGCCGCTGCCCAGCCGCCGCGAGAGGCGCGCACGGGCCGCCACCCTGCCCGCGGCACGGCACGGCGCACAGCGGGGGGGCTGCGAGAGCCGCGCTGACGGAAGGCGCAGCTAGGCGCGCAACTTGGTGCCGGCGGCTCAGCGATCGTCAGCATCGTTCGTTGCTGCTGCCGCTGATTTTGCGGGAGGTTTAGGCGCTGCGCGTCTGCGGGCAGGTGGAAGGGAAAGAGCTGGCTTGCAGATGTGACACGGCCTCTGGAAACACACGGTATGCCCGCGACCACGTTGCCATTGGAAAGCCGAAGTTGGGTGGCAGCGTCGGTGCAGGCCGCACGTGGGGTCAGCCCATGGGCACCCGGCCAGAGGCACGCCATTCACACCCCCACCGCTTTGAACCTTACATTTGCCTCTGGTCCAGCAGAGCAGCGGCAGCCCGGGTCTGTCGGACAGCCCTCAATTAGCTCAGGAGCCACAACAGTTATATTGCGGACCAGCACGCATTATTCGGAACCCACTGCAGGGCATCCAACTGATCATCTGCCTCTAAACACAAAATGTGCATTTGAAAATACCCCAAACAGACGTTGACACATTAAAGCATCACCTCCCAAGGAGATGGCACAATCCTACAGGACAGTTCTTTTGGGAAGAACTTTTGGAAAAAATACAACCGAGGGGAAATGGTATTTCAGGAACATCACAGAGTGGAGAGGTTCTGAGCACCTGAGGCTGTGAGGCTCTGAGCTCATATATATATCCCTGTTCACTGCAGAGGAGTCAGACCAGATGGCCTTTCCGACTCAAACGGTTCTGTGATTCCGTACCCCTCTTCCCCCTCCCTTAGTTCCCGTGCCCTGTGCAATACCCCAAGCACTCGGCACACCATGTAAACACAGAATCCTCCTGAGCTGCATATTTCCTCTCATCGCAGCCTTGGTCACACACTAGCAGTCCTTTCTGAGTTAATATATTACTCTGAAAGAGTTACATTGTTAATAACCTAAAAGAAGAAAGGAGAAAAACCTCTGCTCATCTTTTCTCATGCGTAAGGAAGGACATTTCGTATATTTTCTAATTGTCACGTGAGTTGGATTGCAATGCTATAGATAATCCTTCCACTCCAGCTCAAAAAACTTGCACACTTGTCTAGTGCCTGGGAAGAAGCATGGAATTCACTCCAGATGGGTTCTCTCCAAAACCTTCTGTTCAGGAAAGTTGTTTTGTTTTCAGATACGAGCCTGCTTTATCCTGCAGCCCACCCCAAGCTCGAGAGTGTAAGAGGATGGGAAGAATGGAAAATGTACAGGTGTTTGTTGGCGAGGAAGCCAACATTCCAGCTACAGCTTTCTCAGGGGAAGCCTTACAAAAGCAATTCCAGATTGTCCTTCTCACTGCAATCCCTGCTTTGATGGGAGGGATGGAAAGTTGAAAATCCCAGGCTCTGCTTTTCATCCAGAAGCCATTACTATTTCATTTTTAGCAGGAATGCAAAGCCCATGGTGAACACAGAAGCTGCTCTGCTCTGGTTGTTCAAAAAGAAAACTGTAAAAAAAAAAAACAATCCAAGATTCATTTTTTTTGCTCTTGTTCACTCCATGCTTTGCTCTCATGCCTACCTGTAAAGTAGCCATTGTAAACCTATCCCAACATGTTGCTGATCCTATAAGTGTTGTACTAGCATTAGAAAAAGGTGGGAGATATCAGCAAACATGACCAACTTTTTGAATGCCTCCTAAAACAACAAAAGGAAAAATAACCATAAAGTCATAGAATGGTTTGTGTTAGAAGTGATCTTTAAGACCATAAAATCTAAAGAAATACTTTCTTTGGTTGTGGTGTTGCATAGGTTTGGCCACTTTCTCCTTGAAATAACCACAGATTCTGTTATCATCTCAGTTCCACACTGCAAGAAAAGGCATGTGTGTATTTACAGCTCTGTCAGTGCCTTGCTCCCTTCATCTGTTGTCACATTTTCATTGTTAGAGATGCAGACTCATATGGAATAAGCTTGTTTCTTCAAATACTTGATTTCACACAATGCTATTATTTATGGTTAAGGCTTTATTGGGAGGAATGACAATCAATCACTTGAAGCTGGTGTCAGTGCCAGGAGCACTCATATCCTACAGGCCACCCTTCTGACTGGCAGCAAGCATCAGCACACAGCGGATGGCCATATCCCTTACTGTCCCTTGAGGTCACGTTAATCAGCCTTTGGCTTTTCTGTCAGAAGGCATAAAAAAGGGATTCCACATGCTGCGTGGTGCAGGACTGATGGATAATCCCACAGCAGTACACTAGACAGTCTCGAGTGTCCCCAGAACCTATTTCTTTCATAGATTTCAGAGGTATCCCACAGCCGAGCAGCGCTGTGGAGGTCAGCTGGCTGCTCTACACACTAGGGAGTCTAAAAAATGCCAGATGCTGACAGCACAATATCCATCATCTAACGACACAATTATCTTCTCCTTTCCAATGCTGAACATTCAGCAGCAGGCACCGTCTTGCAGAAGAGGTAGCTGCTGGGGTTCAAATCACGCTAACTTCCATCATCGTGTAATTGTTACCCCAGCTCTCTGAGTACCTCTCAGTGTTGTCCTACTCACTGCTGTGACCCTGCAGAGTCAAGAAAGGAGTTGCTGGGAAAAGGAAATGAGACCCCTGATGCCAACAGCTGGTGGAAGAATGCATCACGCTCAAAGAACAGTGAAAAATGTGAGCTGCTGGGCCCAGGCAGGTGGACAAGAGGGCATATGCTGAGAAGCCAACAAAAGCTGGCAAGAAAGATGGATAAACTGTATCACGAGGATGTGATAGGAAAACAGGGGCAGGACAAAACACAGAAGGCGCCACCAGGGACACAAGCAAATCGCTTTATCTCAACAAGATCTATCCTTTCTCACACGTGCACAGTGAGAAAGGGTGCATCCAAAGGTGCAGTCACACCAGTATTTTAAGCCAGCAACAGAGCTGTTATCAAGGCAGCTGGTGCTGCACTGCCTGGACCCCCTCGGCTGCCCCTCCCTCACCAGCTGCTTCCCTGCCTGCATGCTCGCACTGAGGATCACCTCCAGCCCCTGCTGAGCCCTCCCTGAGTGTAACTCTACCCCCAAGCAGGTATGCACCTGCCGTACACCACAGCCTTACAACACAGCAAACATGGCCCCGAGTACAGAGATCTTGTTAAAACATGCTGCAGGCAGGCCAGGAGATGCTATCAAGAAGCTGAACAAGAAGCAATGTACCTCTGGTCTTTAAATTCTTGCCTGCTATCCCCGCTGAATCTACTTGACTCAAAGTTGCAAAGCGTTACTGGAAGCAGGATGGCAGAAGTGCACCTTGTGAATTCACTTATTGCACTCAGTACTTAAAGGCCCACAACTTTTTAGTTGATAACTGAGATTAACAGGCTTCTCTCTTTTATACCTGGGATTGTACTGCAATACAAAAATCACACAAAAAACTGACACAAATACTTCAGTGCAGAGCTCGCATGGCACACAGAGCTTCCTTAGTACCCAAGCCCGAGTTTGCAGTTACACACAGTAATGAACTGACCAACAGACAATTGCCCGTATAGACAAAGTGGACATTAAGGCTTTACACAACACCACCAAAGTATTTAGAAATTAGTTTACCATGCATAACAAAGATGGGCTTCTTGAGACTTCTAATGAAAGCTGATATAGCCATTACCTGATTACTGTAACATACCCGCAATCATTAATACAAAAGTCCTCCTTAACTATCTTTATTTTATGGTCACAGCTATTCTAGGAGGGAACAGGAGGGGGAAGGGGAAAGCAATGCTTCTTGCTTGTGTTTATGCCAACTGTAATGGGGTTGTGGCATTGAAGAACACCAAATAGACACCAAAGTTTATTTCATGGCCTTGACAACAAGACGTGGGTCTAAAAAGATGTAGCCAGCAGCATATGATGTTCTGAGGGCAGAATGGAACAAAACGACACTGTTTGATATTAATCCAGGGGCTTTGGCCAGCTTTCTGCAGCACCAGAGATTGCTGGCTAGTATGTGAAGATGGTCTGAATCCACAGTCCCCATTTCAGCTGCACTGAACCAAGTCCTGTTACAGGTAAGGAGCTGAGCCCTGGCATCTGCATGTAAAAGATGATCCTGTTCTTCAGCAGCAAAAACACGGACAAAGAAAAGATTCATAAGGGATCTGGTAATTATTTCTCAAGTTTGTTCAGCAAACTGTGCTCTGTTGTTATTTTGCTGCTGGCTC